CGGGGGGCCGCGGGGGGGGCCCCGGCTCCCGCCTCTCTCTGTCCTCGGGTCCCCACGGAGTCAATAAAAGCGCCCGCGGAGCCCTGTGCGGCCCTAACCCCAGCGCCCTGGGAGCGCACCCGCCGTAGGTCCGCTTGGGCAGTCTATCTTCGCCCAATCTACAGCGGGCCGCACAAAACGGCACAATGGGAGAGCTGGGAGCCGGAGATGTTAGAGGCGTGCATATTAAAAAGGGACAGAGAAAGGATCGCGGGGGACAGAGAGGGGAAGAGGCCCGCCCTCCCCCCGCCCCACCCCGCACCATTCAGCGCGCTTATCGCGGGCAGTGAATCCCGGAGTCAGGCAGAAGTCTCCTTGGGGTTTTGTTGGGCCTGTCACTGGGTCCCTTTGTCATCCGCAGGCTCCGTGCTGGATTCCATATGGCCAGCTGGGCCGAGGGAGCGCGAGGAGGGACCCGCACAAAACCCAAATTGTGTCCAGCTTTCAAACCCTGTATTGTTGTCTGTGAAAGGAAGACGCATTAAAAATTCGTGCTATATCTATTGGGGAGGAGATTGGAGGAGGGGAAAAAAGCCACCCCTGTCTTTGATGGTTTCAGAGGGCGCTCTCCCCGCCTAGGCCCCGTGACACCGAATGCTGGGTCTCTCTCTCTCTCTCTCTCTCTCTCTCTCTCTCTCTCCTGTGTGTGTCTTTCTGTCTCTTTCTGTGTGTCTGTCTCTGTGTGTATGTGCTGTCTCCCTCTTTTCCTCTCTCCATCCTCTGGTCTCCCCTCTCCCTTTCTTCTCTCCTCGCTTCCCTTCTCCCTCTCTGTTTCTCACTCTTCCTCTCACATCTCCTCTTTCTCACTCTCTCTTCCTCTCGCTCCCTCTCTGCCCCCCTCTCTCTCTAGTCCCTCTCTCCCCTCCCTCTTCCTCCCTCTCTGCCACTCTTCTCTCCGTCTTTGCGTCTGTCCCTCTTCCTCCTCCCCCCCCTTGCTCTCTACCTCCTTCCCCCCACCCCACCCAGGACTGGTCTACCCTCCCCGGGGCCTACAACCCGTGCGCCTTCAGGGTTTGGCGCTCTGGTGCCCTTGGCGGGCTCCGTGAGCCTCAGCTTCCCTGGCTATGGGGCCGTCCTGGGGCTCGGGAGGCACCCAGGGCCTGGGTGACGTCGCGGCTCCAGGGTGGATGGAAACCCCGTCTGCTGCTGTCGCGCTCGACGCCTTCGCACCCCGAGCCGCCTTCCACTCACCGCGAGGAAGGCGCCGGGAGGCCGCGGCCCGCTCAGTCCCGGCCCAGCTGGGCCTGGTCCGCAGCCGGTCCCCAGGGCGCTCGCTGACCCCAGGGTTAGGGGCGCCGTGGATTTGAGTGATGCGCAGGGATTCCACGGGCCTCTTCATGATGGAGAACCGCTCCAGAAACGTCCTCCGGCAGCTTCCCTCTCCCCATGACCGGGGCGGAAGGTTCTTTACTTTTCTGCCTCCTGCATCGCTGTGGTTGCAACACGTAGAGCCAGGGAGACACAGCGTGTCTCCCCCTAAGCGTTTCAGGCTGGCGCAGGGCTGCGGGAGACCATTTGTGGCCAGATCAGAACTCCCACGAGCAGGCCCCAAACTAGCAAAATCCCAGACGCGTCCCCACGGACAGTCACGCGGCCCTTGCCGAGCACGACCGACTCGGGGGCAGCTCTAGCCGGTCGGGAGAGTGGGAACCCCCTTCTCAGCGTTGCCCACCCCTCAGGGGACTGATTTCCTTACCTATTGACTGTTGGGCTTAGTGGAGACCTGGTGTGGATTTCTCGAGCCTTTTCAAGAGCCTGGTCATTGAAAAGCTAATCCAATATTTACCCAACATAAGGACAGTGCTCAGACGTATTTATTAAGGCCCATCGCTAAGTGGTTACTTGGGCCCAAGACAATGGCCAGAGGAGGGCCGTCTAGGCCCCCAGACGCGCCGGGGGTGGGGGTAAAGCGCACTCCGGGGTCTGCGGGTCCCCTCCTGGAGCGGAGTGGCGCGTGAATCAGAGATTGTGTTGGGTGGCATTTCAGGAAATATGCACTTGTGGCTTCCAGAGAGGCGGGGCGCGGTGACACTCTCCACCGTGTCGACACATCATCTTTTATCCAGGATCTGCAAATAAACCCCTGATCCCGGCGCATTATGGCCGCCGCTATCTCGCCCAGGAAGCGACGAGCCTTATTGCCTCCGCCAACGTCTCTCCACGCGCGCGCACCCTCCCGCTCGGCTTCTTCCTCCCGGGGCATCGTCGTCCACACGGAG